TATGAGTAAGGAGACTATTTCAGTGCCCATTAAAATACTCTTATTTGGATTCTGTGCTTTTCCTGGGTCTCTGTGTTTTTTGGTTGGGTTTGAGTGTGATGATGGTAACCTAACCACCACTGAGTTGCACACATGCCCAAACTCTGAATAAAAATAGAACTTTTTTAGTCTAAGCCTTTTTTCTGAAGCATGCTAGGACTGAGATCACTCCCTTCCAGGTTCTGAAATTTATTTTTTCCAGTTTGAAAAAAAAAAACCCAAAAAACGCTTGGATCTGTGAGGGAACTGAAGTGAAGATTTATTTATTCTTGCCATGTCTCTGTGGGTGCAATGAAGAGCCTTTCGAAACGCCAATAAGACTTCGGTATATTGAGAGAAACTACTTGAAAATACTCAATTTCTATTGCCATCAACCTGAAAGCAAGCCCTGGGATTTTCTTAGTTTAGGAGAAAATAAATACTCGAAAGAGACGCGGGGTGGCGCTGCAGCCTTAGAAGTAGCAGAAACAAAGTATCCAGCCGACGCTCCTTCACCCAGATACTCAGCTAAAGAAGCAGCAAGCAGGAAGAGGAGGCTTTTTAAGGCGGTCGCTTCGGGAAATCCAGGCCCTAGGATTGTCCACTCATCCCAGTATCAGCGAGATACGGGGAGATAGAGTCAGCGACAACGTGAGCCCGAGCTGGAGCAGGTTTGATGTGAGACCAGAAGGCAATGGAGGCCGGAGAGGGGAAGGAGCGCGTTCCGAAACAAAGGCAAGTCCTGATATTCTTTGTTTTGCTGGGCATAGCTCAGGCTAGTTCCCAGCCTAGGCACTACTCAGTGGCCGAGGAAACGGAGAGTGGCTACTTTGTGGCCAATTTGTTAAAAGACCTGGGGCTGGAGATAGGAGAACTTGCTGTGAGGGGGGCCAGGGTCGTTTCCAAAGGAAAAAAAACGCATTTGCAGTTCGATAAGCAGACCGGGGATTTGTTGTTAAATGAGAAATTGGACCGGGAGGAGCTGTGCGGCCCCACAGAGCCCTGTGTCTTACCTTTCCAGGTGTTACTAGAAAATCCCTTGCAATTTTTTCAGGCGGAGCTGCGGATTAGGGACATAAATGATCATTCCCCAGTTTTCCTAGACAAAGAAATACTGTTGAAAATTTCAGAAAGTATCACTCCTGGAACTACTTTCTTAATAGAACGTGCCCAGGACTTGGATGTAGGAACCAACAGTCTCCAAAATTACACAATCAGTCCCAATTTCCACTTCCATCTTAATTTACAAGACAGTCTCGATGGCATAATGTTACCACAGCTGGTGCTGAACAGAGCCCTGGATCGCGAGGAGCAGCCTGAGATCAGGTTAACCCTCACAGCGCTAGATGGCGGGACTCCACCCAGGTCCGGCACGGCCCTGGTACGGATTGAAGTTATGGACATCAATGACAACGTCCCAGAGTTTGCAAAGCTGCTCTATGAGGTGCAGATCCCGGAGGACAGCCCTATTGGATCCCAGGTTGCCATCGTCTCTGCCAGGGATTTAGACATTGGAACTAATGGAGAAATATCTTATGCATTTTCCCAAGCCTCTGAAGACATTCGCAAAACGTTTCGATTAAGTGCAAAATCGGGAGAACTCCTTTTAAGACAGAAACTGGATTTCGAATCCATCCAGACGTACACAGTAAATATTCAGGCGACAGATGGTGGGGGCCTATCTGGAACTTGTGTGGTATTTGTCCAAGTAATGGATTTGAATGACAATCCTCCGGAACTGACTATGTCGACACTTATCAATCAGATCCCAGAAAACTTGCAGGATACCCTTATTGCTGTATTCAGTGTTTCAGATCCTGACTCCGGAGACAACGGAAGGACAGTGTGCTCCATCCAAGATGATCTTCCTTTTTTCTTGAAACCTTCTGTTGAGAACTTTTACACTCTGGTGATAAGCACAGCCCTGGACCGGGAGACCAGATCCGAATACAACATCACCATCACCGTCACCGACTTGGGGACACCCAGGCTGAAAATCGAGCACAACATAACCGTGCTGGTCTCCGACGTCAATGACAACGCCCCCGCCTTCACCCAAACCTCCTACACCCTGTTCGTCCGCGAGAACAACAGCCCCGCCCTGCACATCGGCAGTGTCAGCGCCACAGACAGAGACTCAGGCACCAACGCCCAGGTCACCTACTCGCTGCTGCCACCCCGGGACCCGCACCTGCCCCTCGCCTCCCTGGTCTCCATCAACGCAGATAACGGCCACCTGTTCGCCCTCCAGTCGCTGGACTACGAGGCCCTGCAGGAGTTCGAGTTCCGCGTGGGCGCCACAGACCGCGGCTCCCCGGAGCTGAGCAGCGAGGCGCTAGTGCGCGTGCTGGTGCTGGACGCCAACGACAACTCGCCCTTCGTGCTGTACCCGCTGCAGAACGGCTCCGTGCCCTGCACCGAGCTGGTGCCCCGTGCTGCCGAGCCGGGCTACCTGGTGACCAAGGTGGTGGCGGTGGACGGCGACTCGGGCCAGAACGCCTGGCTGTCGTACCAGCTGCTCAAGGCCACGGAGCCCGGGCTGTTCGGTGTGTGGGCGCACAATGGCGAGGTGCGCACCTCCAGGCTGCTGAGCGAGCGCGACACGGCCAAGCACAGGCTGGTGGTGCTGGTTAAGGACAATGGCGAGCCTCCGCGCTCGGCCACCGCCACGCTACACTTGCTCCTAGTGGACGGCTTCTCCCAGCCCTACCTGCCGCTCCCAGAGGCGGCCCCGGCCCAGGCCCAGGCCGACTCACTCACCGTCTACCTGGTGGTGGCGTTAGCCTCGGTGTCGTCGCTTTTCCTCTTGTCGGTGCTCCTGTTCGTGGCGGTGCGGCTGTGCAGGAGGAGCAGGGCGGCCTCAGTGGGTCGCTGCTCGGTGCCCGAGGGCCCCTTTCCAGGGCATCTGGTGGACGTGAGCGGCACCGAGACCCTGTCCCAGAGCTACCAGTACGAGGTGTGTCTGACTGGAGGCTCCGGGACAAATGAGTTCAAGTTCCTGAAGCCAATTATCCCTAATTTTGTTGCTCAGGGTGCAGAGAGGGTTATCGAGGCAAATCCCAGTTTCAGGAAGAGCTTTGAATTCAGTTAAGTGTTAATAAGGATCTACTGAGGCTAGTCTCATTTAATTTGTGGAAAGTCCTTTTTCACTGCTTTGCCCATTGGAGGTGTCTCCTTTTATTAGAACGTAACTATCTTATTCCAATTCTATGCATGTTACTGGTATTTATAAAGTATGAGTTTTTGCGGTATAATGAATGTAAATTTTCTTTGTATTCTAATTGTTGGTTAGTTTCATTGCAATTTAATTGCATTAAGTGTAAATTTTGTATTTTCAGAAATCTTTAAGTTAGAGCATCTTTTCCAGACCTCACAGTCCGTGGTCCTAGATAATTTTGAAGTCCTACATTTGAAAATATTTGTTATCATTACATGAGTTATATTTTCCAGCCCAGAATATTTTTGTTATATCCTCTTAGGCTAGTGTAAATTCTATCCTGTGAATTCACATTGGCTAACCATTTAAATAGGTATATTTATGAATAATACAACAAGCACCGTCCTTACATTTTTCAATATATGTACTTTTTTTTTTTTTCTTTGAGATGGAGTTTTGCTCTTGTTGCCCAGGCTGGAGTGGAGTGCAGTGGTGCAATCTCGGCTTGCCGCAACCTCTGCCTCCCAGGTTCAAGCTATTCTCCTGCCTCAGCCTCCCAAGTAGCTGGGATTACAGGCATGAGTCACTATGCGGGGCTAATTTTGTATTTGTAGTAGAGACAGGGTTTCTCCATGTTGGTCAGGCTGGTCTTGAATTCCTGACCTCAGGTGATCTGCCCACTTCAGCCTCCCAAAGTGCTGGATTAAGGGCATGAGCCACCACCCCCAGGCCCAATATATATACTTCTTAAAATACTGACATATAAAAAGTATTAATCTTTAGAGACTGTAAGAATTCTAACTGTTGGATTCTACAAGGCATTAACATCATAAGTGCTCTAATAAATTTTTGTCAAAAATCAATCATTAATATTCTAAAATGTAGGTAAATAATACACGTCTAGCAGTTTTCAGAGTCATGCTAATTCATCATGCTTTCTCTTTCAAATAGCTTTTTAAGAGCCCTCTGCTTATTCCAGTACCCCCCTTTAAAATCTTTTAAAATTATTAATAACCTATTAACATTGAGCACTTCATTAAAATCCAGAAAATATGAGGGAGTACATGTCTTTGTCCTTGACCTTTAGAAACCTCAAATATAGCTTGGTATTGCTGTTTTTAACATTTTCTGGAGCATTTAGGATTCACTTAGAAATAAGCTTTTTGGGAGAAAAATGTATCTAGCACCACTCACTCTCTTTTTTTCCACTGGCTACTTCTATTTTTCCCCCTTTCATTTCCCTAGACTTCTCAATGCTTTTTTATAAAGGTGCTTGAGTTCTGTTTCTCAACAGCTCCCTCATTTATTGCATGATTCACACAGTCACTGGAACATTATAGGTTCTTAATAAAATTTTTGAATGATTGAAAGAGAGAAAAGTATTTTACCTGTGATATATTGATATTTAAATAAACTAAAACACTTAAAAGAAAACATTTTGCTGGAGCCAAATACTCTTCGGTGTACAATGAATTACAGTTTTTTTATTAATTGAATTGGTCACCATTGTTCAAACATGCAGTTATCATTCTGTTGTTGCTTTCCTTCAACATATTTTTCCTTTTTCTCTTAATGCTTAAATTGAGCCTCCTCTCCTGTCCACTGGCGTAAGAAATACAGATGAAATTGTGGTTTTTAATTTTGTTACTTAAATTTCCTTCCCTAGTTCCCTAAATGACTCACCCAACTGTTTTCATTTCTTGCAGTTTACTTTCTGATCCATACATTAAAACAAATCTTAATTATTAATGTTATTCAATCTATCTTTACATTTTTATATGATTTTTACATACATTTGAATGAGCTTTCCTATTAAAATTGTAATATTAACTTTGAAGGTCTTGTTTTGAGATTAGCAGTGGGGTAGAGCGCTGTATTGGTATCAAAAGTCTCTGATCAACCAACTCATTACCTGTAGGATTTTGGATAAGTCACAAAGTTTCTCTTCTTCTACCCCAAATGATAACAGGTATTTGAATAGCTTGCAGTTATACTCAATATAAAGACATAAAGTGATTAGTATTAAGAGCAAACATTCTTGATAATTGTGTAGAAGTACAAAAGAGGCTACATTGAACACATATTTGCATTGTTTTATTTCTCTACCAACAACCTTGCAATGGCTTCCTTTTGTTCTCAGAATAAAATGCAAGCACCCATTATTTGGCCTTGGTTTACCTTTTCAGCCTTCCTTTCCACTTACTCTTGAGACATTAAGTTTTGTATTCACTGTCCTTCATTCATTATCTCTTAATAGCTATGCTTCACTCTCTCAGGGCCTTCACACATTCTACAGTCTTAGCTTGGCACACTTCTCCTATTTCATGTTTCAGATTAAATGGTGCACCTTGGGGGAAACTTTCTTAATCACTCTCCATTAACGTAGGTCCCTGTATTGCATACTTTCAGTGCACTCAGTACCTTTTCTATGTAGCACTTTTCACACTGTTTAAACATCTGTTTAAAGACTGTACACCCACTAGATGGAAAATTGTTGTAAGATATACAGACATTGTCTTGTTACCACCACTTGCCTAACTTCTACAAACTCAACAATTATCTGTGGAAACAAGCTAATACAGATGAAATGAATAATTGCAAATTTGCTCTGAAATAAGAAGAGAAAGCACTTTAAGTGTTCCTTGAGCGTGATAATGTGGAAGAAATTAGGCATCTGTAGCCCTCCGGATCCACCTCTGACATTATATATTTTCCTTTTTACCACCTTGCAGGAGGTGTCTTTTCCTTTTATTTTTCTGGTATAGGCAATTCGGACTCATTTCACAAAGTTTAGAAAAAAAAGAAAAACAAATAGGATAGCGAAGCATGCTATCATCTAGAGGAAAAATCTTTTGAAGTTTGTGTGTAATTATTACAGAAGGGGAAGGGTAAGCTAGTGTCTGTACACTTCCGTTAAATCATGTAAATGAGGACTCTACCAGGAAGAATCGCTGCTCTTAGATAAGAGCGCATTTTATTTCCCTAGATTGCATTTATTTAATTCATATAACATGAGAAACTCCTCCAGTAGCGTCAACCAGGGTTGATAAGAATAAACGATAAAGCAAAACAAAAACACCTTCTCCAAGATTTTGAAACTGCAAGCGAACGCATGGTGGCGCTGTTGACTAAGAAGGCGAATTAAACCACGGGCATTGTGCATGCTCGGTGACGCACGGATCCAGTGTGGTAAACCAGGGGTTGTGAGCCCAGGCAGATTTTTGAGTCAGCAAGTCTGAGCCTCTGGAAAGGCTTATTGACTAGGCCGTCTGCAAAGGTTGTGGGACAAAAGACTGTTTCCCAGCGCTGTCTGAGGTTCAGCTTGGAGACATTCCCTAGAAAAGCGTGACGGAAAGTGCAATGGAGGCGGGAGGAGAGCGATTTCTTAGACAAAGGCAAGTCCTGCTTCTCTTTGTTTTTCTGGGAGGGTCTCTGGCTGGGTCCGAGTCAAGACGCTATTCTGTGGCTGAGGAAAAAGAGAAGGGCTTTTTAATAGCCAACCTAGCAAAGGATCTGGGGCTAAGGGTAGAGGAACTGGCCGCGAGGGGGGCCCAAGTTGTGTCCAAAGGGAACAAACAGCATTTTCAGCTCAGTCATCAGACAGGTGATTTGCTTCTGAATGAGAAATTGGACCGGGAGGAGCTATGCGGCCCCACAGAACCATGCATACTGCATTTTCAGATATTACTGCAAAACCCTTTGCAGTTTGTTACAAACGAGCTCCATATCATAGATGTAAATGACCATTCTCCGGTATTCTTTGAAAATGAAATGCATCTGAAAATCCTAGAAAGCACTCTACCAGGAGCAGTAATTCCTTTGGGAAATGCTGAGGACTTGGATGTGGGAAGAAACAGCCTCCAAAACTACACTATCACTCCGAATTCCCACTTCCACGTACTCACTCGCAGTCGTAGGGACGGAAGGAAGTACCCGGAACTAGTACTGGATAAAGCGCTGGATCGTGAGGAGCAGCCGGAGCTCAGCTTAACGCTCACTGCGCTGGACGGCGGCGCTCCCCCTCGGTCTGGGACAGCCCAGATAAACATCCAGGTCTTAGATATAAACGACAATGCACCAGAATTTGCACAGCCGCTCTATGAGGTTGCAGTTCTAGAGAATACCCCCGTTAACTCTGTCATTGTCACTGTCTCGGCTTCTGATTTAGATACAGGAAGTTTTGGGACAATATCATACGCATTTTTTCATGCTTCTGAAGAAATTCGCAAAACTTTTCAGCTAAATCCAATTACTGGTGATATGCAACTAGTCAAATATTTGAATTTTGAAGCTATTAATAGTTATGAAGTCGACATCGAGGCCAAGGATGGCGGAGGCCTATCCGGAAAGTCTACAGTCATAGTCCAGGTGGTTGATGTCAACGACAACCCACCGGAACTGACCTTGTCTTCAGTAAACAGCCCTATCCCTGAGAACTCAGCAGAGACTGTACTGGCTGTTTTCAGTGTTTCTGATCTAGACTCTGGAGACAACGGAAGAGTGGTGTGTTCCATTGAGAACAATCTCCCCTTCATCCTGAAACCATCCGTAGAGAATTTTTACACCCTCATGTCAGAAGGCGCACTGGACAGAGAGACCAGATCCGAGTACAACATCACCATCACCGTCACTGATTTGGGGACACCCAGGCTGAAAACCAAGTACAACATAACCGTGCTGGTCTCCGACGTCAATGACAACGCCCCCGCCTTCACCCAAACCTCCTACACCCTGTTCGTCCGCGAGAACAACAGCCCCGCCCTGCACATCGGCAGCGTCAGCGCCACAGACAGAGACTCAGGCACCAACGCCCTGGTCACCTACTCGCTGCTGCCACCCCAGGACCCGCACCTGCCCCTCGCCTCCCTGGTCTCCATCAACGCAGATAACGGCCACCTGTTTGCCCTCAGGTCGCTGGACTACGAGACCCTGCAGGAGTTCGAGTTCCGCGTGGGCGCCACAGACCGCGGCTCCCCGGCGCTAAGCAGCGAGGCGCTAGTCCGCGTGCTGGTGCTGGACGCCAACGACAACTCGCCCTTCGTGCTGTACCCGCTGCAGAACGGCTCCGTGCCCTGCACCGAGCTGGTGCCCCGGGCGGCCGAGCCGGGCTACCTGGTGACCAAGGTGGTGGCGGTGGACGGCGACTCGGGCCAGAACGCCTGGCTGTCGTACCAGCTGCTCAAGGCCACGGAGCCCGGGCTGTTCGGTGTGTGGGCGCACAATGGCGAGGTGCGCACCTCCAGGCTGCTGAGCGAGCGCGACACGGCCAAGCACAGGCTAGTTGTGCTGGTCAAGGACAATGGCGAGCCTCCGCGCTCAGCCACCGCCACGCTGCACTTGCTCCTGGTGGACGGCTTCTCCCAGCCCTACCTGCCGCTCCCGGAGGCGGCCCCGGCCCAGGCCCAGGCCGACTCACTCACCGTCTACCTGGTGGTGGCGTTGGCCTCGGTGTCGTCGCTGTTCCTCTTGTCGGTGCTCCTGTTCGTGGCGGTGCGGCTGTGCAGGAGGAGCAGGGCGGCCTCAGTGGGTCGCTGCTCGGTGCCCGAGGGCCCCTTTCCAGGGCATCTGGTGGACGTGAGCGGCACCGAGACCCTGTCCCAGAGCTACCAGTACGAGGTGTGTCTGACTGGAGGCTCCGGGACAAATGAGTTCAAGTTCCTGAAGCCAATTATCCCTAATTTTGTTGCTCAGGGTGCAGAGAGGGTTATCGAGGCAAATCCCAGTTTCAGGAAGAGCTTTGAATTCAGTTAAGTGTTAATAAGGATCTACTGAGGCTAGTCTCATTTAATTTGTGGAAAGTCCTTTTTCACTGCTTTGCCCATTGGAGAATTCTCTTTTGGTATGGTTCAAGGCAAGTAGCAAGAGTAGAGCCAAATTTCAAATCCAGGGATGGCTTAGGTTTCATTAACAGAACTGGAAAATAGTTGTTTGGCTCTGAATGTTTTGTATTTCAATCAAGAATCCTTAGTCGATAGAACATTTTGTTTATATATTGATTCTACTTTTTCCGTAGTTAATCCATGCATACTCTCCTTTCATCCTAGCTTGCCAACGCAGTCTTAATTCGCCTTTTGTTTTTTCTAATGGGAAGCAAAAAGGAATTCATTATCTTTTAATAGTGATTTCAAATAGCTTATTGAAATAACTCCTTTCAATTTTTATATTATAAAGCAATGTAGAGAGAGTTCCAAACCACCAATTTTATAATTTCCCTTGTTGAATATATTCACATAATGTATTGTATAATATGCCCAAAGCAGCTTTGTCTATGGTTAACAAAGTTTTGAGAATAGACAAGAATGTGTTTTCTTCAATTTATAGTAATATATCATCTTTTTAGGGATGTAGTACTCAAATGAAAGTAATTTAGTTCATTTTCTGTGTTGACATTTGCAATTAATATTTCAATATTTTATGTGCTTATATTGGCCAAAATATGGACACAAATATAGACTAATAGGGATAATTACCCTTTGAAGTTTATCTAAAGTGTGTTCATGATGACTGAGGAAAAAAAATTAAACCTATGCCATTTTAAAAACTGACTGTTCTTTTCCATTTGACACAAAAACATTGTTTAGTAAGACATCTGGTGGAATGACAATTATTTGTTTCATAAATTCTGAGATGTAAGTGTTATCAATCTGAGAGCCAATTTTTAATTTTAAGAAAATACATGGGTATATGATATCTAAATGCTTCATGGGAAAAGTGATATCCTATCCAGTCCTACTTTATAATTAATACCTATTTGCTACTTGTATGGTGATATAGGAGAAAGATACTTTCTTTTTTTCCTGTCTTGGTTCCCTCCTTCAGATTTTAACCTAACATGATTTAGGATTATATATGATCTTTCTGGGATAGGAACTGTCCATCCATATCAGCATCCTGCCTCCTACAATGTAATTAAAAGAAGATGTACAAGAATAGAAAGTTCTAAAAAGGAGAAGGCAATATCGTTGTGAAACTCTAAATTAGCTACAACAAAGAATAAAATCTGGAAACAACCAAAACATTGAATCTTATGGTTATCTTGAGTAAAATCAAAAAACTTATTTTAAGCAACAAAATATTTAGCTCCTAATTAGGGAATTGTATTAGGAAAAAATTAATTTTCTTCCTATAAGCATTTCCTCATCCACAGAACATCTATATATCTTCCTAGGAATTAAATACTCATGACTAGAGAAAAGAGAATTTCTCAAAGATTTTAAAAATTCCCCAAAAAGCAAGAGTTTAAGATTGACATGCTTTCAAACATATGTTAAAGTGTAGTTATTATCACATTTAAATGGTGTCATTTTATGTAACTGAGCATCAAATGTGTAAACCCTTTTATAAAAAATCTTTTGAGACAGGGTCTTGCTCTGTTGCCCAGGCTGGAATGCAGTGGTACAATCATGGCTCACTGCAGTCTCAGTCTCCTGGGCTCAAGGGATCTGACCACTTTAGCCTCCAGAGTAGCTGGGACAACAGGTGTGTGCCACCACACCCAGCTATTTAACAACAACAAAAAATTTATTTGTAGAAAGGGGGTTTCTCCATGTTGCCCAGGTTGGTCTGGAACTCCTGTGCTCAAGGGATCCTCCTGCCTCCACTTCCCAAAATGCTAGGATTACAGGTATGAACCACCATGCACAGCCAAATGTGTGAATCTTTAATAGTCAGAGGAAAATTAATATAATATTTCCTTTCACTTTAAGTAGAATCTGGCTGTTTTGGTCAGATATTTTTCTTCTTTGCATATGTAGCTGATTTTCCATGAATATCAGGAAGAGGCATAGAATTCTTATCAAGATTTATCTCTCTTTGATTACCATAGTCCCAGGTGGTATCAGAGCCAGGGAAGTATTCAACTGTGGAAAATATAGAGGGCAGTTCGTTTGGGGACTAATATGGTAAATGATCGGAGACTAAAGTTCAAAAGGCAATATGCTGAGTCATTTAGACACTGAAAATAGAAGAACAGATACCATTAGTAATTTAGTTTTTAGATGTGCTGGACTTATACATTGTTGAGAAAATGAATAGAATTTAGCAAAGCCAGAAAAGATAATCTAGACTAAATTTGAAGATGGGAAGCAATCACATCTTACTCTTGGTTCAAACCTGCTTCTTTTTCAAGGCAGTTAGAAACGTTTTACCCTTTTATTTGAAGACAACTTCCAACAATGTATTCATCTGGATATTTCATTAAATATAGAGAGAGTACCACATGTACGGTACTAACTAGTGTTGCCACATTTTGGAATTCCAGAAACTAAAAGCCTGGCACAAGGTAAAAGGGATGACTTTATATATTATTAATAATTTTCTAGTACTTTTTCTTTTGGGCAGGCTAATTTATTATTGTAAAATATTTACAAATCAATCTCACCAGTATTCCAATTGTCAAAAAGTAAGAGAAAGAAAAATTTTACCCCCTTCCCTCATTCTAGAATATGTAAAATGACCGTAGTAGACTCTAAGCAACTTGAAGGTAGCGTCTGTTTCTGGTTTATTCATAGTGGTATTTCCAGCAAATAGCACAATGCCTCATTCATAGTAGATGCTCAGTTTATATTTGTTAAATAAATACATTTTAAATTATTTGGTAAATAATGTTCTAAGGAATTACAGACTTGTTTATTTGGACCTGATCTACACATTGAATTTTAAAAGAACTATCTATATTCAGAAAGGGATGGAGTATAAAGAATAAAGAATAATTCCCTATAGAGCCAATTTTTTATTTAATGTCTCCCTTTGCATCTTGAGACTTGTGGAAGCTTGGAGAACTGTAAAATTATGTATTAATCTCCAAGTTGGTTCTAAATTGAGCTTATTCATATCTTTGATTTCAGGGAAAAAAAAGAAATTAAATGTAAGACATTTTTGTACATCAAATTAACTTTCTGAAATTGGTATTTAAATTCTCTGGCCTCTAATTGGTACTTCTATTGAACTTGGATTAGTCTTAATGATATCAAGATTAAATAAAATTTTCAAGATCCCAAAGGCTTAGCTTTTTAAAAATAGTCAATCATTCATTTATTTTCAAAACATAATTCTCGATCACGTGCATACTCCCTTCTTCTCTCTACAAATACTTTAGTTCAGAAATAACTTAAATATTTCCTTGACATTCACAATCTAGTTTTTAACACTGAAAATCAAAGGGATACAAATGAATTTTAAATTTTTATGTGGGGTTGTTACAAGACTAAGCTATATTCAAATATCAATCATTAAAACTAGTGAGGCCACTTGCTATACCACCATACTTTTCATAAATCTTCTTTGATAAATAAATTCTACTTCCTTACAAAAGAAGACTCTGTTTTAAAAAAAATAACAGCTTTTCTCTATATCCCCCTACTTTATTCTGGAAACATCTTTTGCTTCTTAAAGTAATTGTTAGATTTTTTTAAGCCAGAAATCTGTTAGTCCTAATTATGAATTATTTTAATGTCAAATATGCATATGGTTAACCAATAGTTTGCTTGATCATAGATTCAAAATTTTAAGCTTATTTTCCTTCTATTCTTTAGGTATTCAACACATTGATGAAAAGTACAATGTCAGTCTACTTCTCATTCTTTTATCCGTAAACTACTTTACTCTCTTTTAGATTTTTTCATTTATTCTTGCTGTTCTGATATATATGGTAGGCCCCAACCTGAGATTCACATAATGTACTGCATTTTTTTTCTTTGAGAAATTACAATTTTGTTTTGAAAACTTTCATTTGGCAAGTTTTCACAACTATTTGCTCTTGTTTCACAATTGCTATTTCCTTCTTTGTTGTTTGAGTCTTTTAAGTTCTTTCCATATTGTTTCAAATTTCTATTTCTTATAGTAGATAAAACAACTCTTTTATTTGTTGAGTCTGTTTTTTGTGGTGTTAATCTTCATTTGCTTGCTGATATTTTATCGAGAACTTATCTCTTATTGGAAGCTTCTTTCACAGTAGTGCTTGTTTTGACAATCTTGGGGAAGGGAGGAAGAAGAGGGGTCTCAAGGTGGTTTCGCCCTGGCTGCTGCAAACCCAAGCCTTCATTTAAAAGCTTAGCTCAACTTTGCCACACCCAGGTAAAAGTTCTAGACCAAGCACTAAAAATATGTTTGAGATGGGACCCATGCTCTTTTGGGTGGTATTGTTCTGCATTCACTCAATAAGGCAAAAATCTCAGGGAATGTCATTGCTTCTTGGTTGTCATGGTTTCTGCTAAGGCTATAGACATGGAAGCTAATGGATAAATTTAAAATGTTTCAATCTTCAGAGTAAACAAGTTGATTTTTAGGAAAACTGAACTGTAGCTGAAGCAATTGACACATGGGGACTATATGGAAAACATCATGGTCTTGATTCAAGTTACAGCATTCATGGTAATGCTCAGAAAAATAATAACATAATCCAAGATTCCACTGAAATAGTGGTTGCTATTTTTTTCTTTTTTTTAGAAAATAGCTTGGGACTCTGGTGATAATGCAAAATGGGCTTGCTCCTTCCAAGACAATCTCCTCATGAAACCTTTTGTCAAAAATTAGTTTTCTGAGTCTGGGAAGAGTGGCTCATGCCTTTAATCCCAGCACTTAGGGAGGCCTAGACAGGAGGATTGCTTGAACTCAGGAGTTCAACAACAGCCTCAGAAACGTAGTGAGACTCTATCACAACAAAAAATTTTAAAAATTGGCTCGGTGTGGTGGCATGCACTTGAGTTCCTAGGTACTGAAGAGGCTGAGGTGGGAGGATCCTTGAGCCCAGGAAGTTGAGGCTGCAGCAAGCCATGATCATGCTCTAGCCTGGGTGATACAGCCAGACTCTATCTCAAAAAATAAAATTATTTTTGTAACAGAGAAGTCAGGGCTCTGTACCATCTCTTACTAGGGTGGAATCTAACATGCAGAAATACAGCATAGCATAATCATACTGTTCTTCAACACTGTCAACAATTCCCTGACCCAAACCTCATACACCTTATTAGTTTGAAAAAAAAAAAAAAGTCCTACTCAGAATGCTGATAGTATCACTGCCAAAAACAGAGACTATCTAGGGACTAATACCTAGGTCACTTTCCCACAGCTGCCCAAGGACATATTCCTCAGTCCTCTCGGTATCCATCAGCATGGACAATGGAACCTGTGTGCTTTGATGTCCCTGGTTTTTGAGATTCTTGAAGAGTTTGAGTTCTAAATGTGTCTGGGGCTTTCTGGAGTTGAGCATCAAGATGTGGAGATCCTGGATGACACACAACTGTAATAGCTAGATAACAAAGAAAATTTATTACAAAACAATTCTATATTGTGTACTGAGCTGTCCAGGTAGAAAAAAGTGGTAACCCAGATGATGACTTGGGCTAGAACTCATGACTATTTTATTGGCGATTCAAGGCCTCAGAGCCCTGGATGTTAGCATGTAGGCACACAATCTGGAAGTACAGAGTATGTGAAGCACATATAGGCTCCTAAAAGACAACCACAACCAGGCACAAGCTGGTGCTGTTATTAAGGACAACTGGAAGCCACCTTTATTTGCCATGATCGTCCTAC